TCACAGCTGTGTATATAGATATAGTTGATTGACTTAGATTATTCTCTGGTTGAGATTAGCTATTTCAAATGGATCCACCTAAGTAGGACCGTTTCACCTCAAGGACAGGGACAGATCATTGTTTATGAAACAATACGTTCATTCAGAATACAAGTTGATGGACAATATCCAGAACCTTAGTGATCAAGATATGTAATTTCTGACTTGCAGTTTCTCAATCCACTAATTATTCCTTGAGGAGTTACTTTTCTACAATAATATTTCATAATTTATCTCCTTTTAGGAGGTGGAATAACTCAGTGAGTGTAGTGAGTGGATTTCATAGCACAGTATTGACATAAAAGAATGTATTTTTCCACAGTCTGCTTTTACCGGTTCTCACGGCTCCTTGCTTGCAGATTTCTTATATATTTTTTCTTCTACCCTGAAGATGGAGGCGATACGTTCCTCCGAAACGTCGGTTAACACCACATATACACGGTGCCAAATCCCAGAAGACTGCTTTCTTCATAAAAGAATGTTGCTTTCCTTCTTAGGGCAAACGTGCATCCATCAGGCGGCGGATATTACCGGAAGAATGACACAATTGGATCGAGGAATCGTCCACCCCTGGTCCACATGGATGTAATTCGTGGGTCCTCACAGGGGCCTGTCCTAGATCACCACAACACCATCCTAACACCAGCAACAGAGGGAGGTGAGCATACACGCCAATAGCCACTGCAACATATAATTTTCTAATTACTAAAGTACAAGTTAATATCTGAATATGAAATTGGTTATACGTCCTTTGAAGATGGGATGTAGTTGAAGTACAGTAACAGTGAAGCAATGTGTGTGATTACATTGGCAGAGTAACTTAAATGTGGGAAATGTATGGAGTTATCTAGTTCACAGTTTTTGTATGTTTGCTTCTGTTCAAACACTGGAAACTTTTCTTATTAATTAACTTTACAGAAATGGTATGTTTTCTGTGAAAGTTTTGCTGGTTGCATGAGAATATGCGGATGGTATGGCACTGGACAGCAGAGTGTGTTGCTTTGTGGAAGTTAATTATTCCTACTGTAATCCATGTAATGGGTATGATATTTTTGGAAGATGTTGAAAGAAAAATGAGAAGGGATGTAATTATAAGAGGAATGTGTACAGCTGCTTGGTCGTGCAAATAGAATGAGTGTGGCTAGAGTGAGGATGTTGAGAAGGGCTGTAGAATAATTTTCTGAATAAGAGTCACCCAGTTGGGTAAATACTAATATACAGTAAGAAGAGAGGAATTAACGGGCAAGTTATCAAAAGGGAAATGTGGGAAGAAGGGGTAGAGATTGGAGCTATCATGCACATAGATCTGTGTACAGCAAAAATTATGCAGAAGGACATGACAAAAAGATTGTTGTGTTTAATTCTTTGATTCACATAATACTAGGAAACTGAATTTTATTCACTTTGTTTCAGCATTCCACTGAGACCATTGTGCTGTCATGAATGTGGCCCAGTGTGGACTGAAGATGCTTATGCTGTGAGACATTCTAACCACCCAGCAGTGTTCCTGCAGAGCTCACCAACAGGGGTGACACACTGCCACCAACACCATCATGCCCTGCCAATGCACTCAGTCCCGTCTTCCCCATGGCACTCATCGGCAGTGAATTCTGCCCGCACCAGCACTGCCTTTGACCTGCATGCTGGCCCACAGTTTGCACCTACCGGGCAGGTAATTCAGAAAACTGCCATGTTCAAAGCACAACGTAATGTATGAGAAGGGAATAATTTTAATCCTTCAGTGTTGTAGCATGCGAGCGGCTTTTGTCACATGTCGCTGAAGTCTATGTGGCTTGCACAATGCAGTGCTAAATTTCAGCCTATTTTGAACTGTTGTTTTTCATGTAAAGTAATTCTTTTTGTGTGAAATTAAAGAGGAAATTTCAGGCTATCATTTCGTATTTTCATTGTCCCACTTTGAACTTCCTGCAGCAAATGTAATACATTTGAATTCTTTGAAAAATTTTTCTACTTCAACACCTGATGTGCTTGTTACCATACAAATCTCTTCTCGCCTTGAGGAATTCTTATGAACTAAATATGTTAGATCAAGACTCTGTGCCATCCTGAATGCTGATCGAATGAAAAGCGATTCTTTTTATGCATGTTGTGACTATTGCTGCTTTGAGATTTGAATTTGGAAGCATGAGAAAATATGTGGACAATGTGTGACTTTGAGACGTGACGTGACGTTAACTCTAAGAAGTGTGTTATGACTGCCGTGTAGCAAACCATAAACAGTTCGCTATATGAATGGTACTACTATAATTCCCCTTTGTTCTTTAAATACACACCATGCAGTCTGGTTTTAGCTGCCAAGGCCAGTCACGAGCAGTGAAGTGGCCAGCTATGTTGTATTATGACCAGTGGAGGATATTTTACTTCGAACTGAATCAGAACAAAGTTTTATCAGAGTCAGAATTTGACACTGATAATCGATGTTTGTGCTTTTCTCGATTCTGTGGTTATTAACAGAATGGAGAAAAGCACGAACGTCCGTTGGGAGAATTTTCAAAACTATAAGGGGCAAAAATAAAATTTCTGAATGGGATGATATGTAGGAATAATACAAGGGAAAGAATAGATCAGTTGTCAATCAGAATTCAGTTAATTGAGGGACTCTCTGTGAAATATGCTAATGCTGTAGAATACAAAGGTCCGGGTCGACATTCATCAGAAAAACGGTGCCTGTCTAAGAGAAAGAAATTTTATAAGCAAGACTCCTCCAACTGTGAAGACATCAAGACAACAGAAACGTCAAGCTGTGTGTCAAAAACTGTGTGATGTGGGACTCTGTGTGGGATATTTTCTGACACAACCACACATATCCTATGTGAATGTGAGGCCTTAGCTTACTCGTATTTAACACTTTGCGTACCAGCAATTTAAATACAGTAAAACTTGGTTATAGCAACATCGGTTTCTGC